TTCTTTCTCTCTTCGAATACGCTTTGGTATTTTTTATCTTGAACGCTCGACATCTGGCCTAGACGACTTTCGGGGCCCGTCACGAATTTACGCTCTTCCGTCAGTTGATACATGGCAAAGTCGATCGATTTTATAATTAAAATACGTTGAAAGTGAATAAAAGCCTATTTAATTTTGAAGATGTCTTGCAGCTCTTGCAACGATAATAACTTTTTAATTCGATCAATAAATGAATAATATACGTATAAAGATATTAGCTGTGCTTTAATGCAAAAAAAAAACAGATACGTGCAAAAGGCGAAGCAATAATGTGTCTCTCCGAAGCCTATCCCGGAATATAAAATTATATAGAATTTAATATCACACACGCACTCACACACATACGCAAATGTAACATAAAATTATTTTTTAATTTAGACTTCACTGCTCACTCTTGAAATAAATGTCTCCTGATAAAACTAATGGTGCGTAATTACTGTGTATGTGTGTTACTGTTTTTAACGTAATTCTATATATAATCCAAGTTCTTTAAGTAAATACGTCTATCGAGAATCGAGATAAGAATTAATCGTGTAAAGCATACGTAATAAAACGAACACGCAATTGCCAGAAACCATGAACAGATGTTCCCACTTTAGATATCATCCAAACCTTTTACACTAATCTAATCAGCATCATTAAATAAGGAATACATTTAATAATCAATATACACCGCATGCTGCGCTAAATGAAATTCATACTATCTCGATAAGTGAAACGTTAGTGACTTAGTCGTCACTGGGCAGACAGCGTCTATCACGTTGTCAATGGAATCAAATCTTTTTTTACATTTCAAATAATCAAATAAAAAGAATATCAACGCGATAATACAACACTCTTATAAACCGCGAAGTAGAGATGTGCGAATCAAGCATTTGTGAGATCAAATCGAATCGAATTTGAAATTTTTATGTTGGATCGAATTTTTCTGATTCGAAAACAAATCGAATTTAAATCAAATTTTCCCGGATTTCCATTGAAAGCTTACTTTAAAAGCAATAAAAGCATCTTCAATAACCAGACTTTTTAAATAAACGGGAAAATATAAATAATTTTTAATTTACGAGAGTCATATATAAATAAAGCAGATAAACGATTAATTCCAAATCGAATCACCAATGATTCGAAATTTTGACCTTATTCGATTTCGAATCTCTCGAATTCGAAGACGAATTTACTACGATTCTATTCAATTTCATTCGAATCCAAATTATTCTCATATCTCTACCGCGGAGACACAGTTTAATGTAATTTATACGATCTATAATAACAATTTAATTACGATTCGATATGCGCGTTCTCCACGTAAAAGCAGCTCTACTTGGACGTATCTCCTAATTTAAAATGTAACACCGTGCATTTAAAGGTAATTACATCGGTGGCGGGCACGCGGGGGATACTTTCGCGCGTCACGTCTATTCCTTTCGCGATTACTACCATCGAAGGGGAAAGGATAAATGAGCAGGTTGCGGTTACTCGAGGTTCGGGGATCGAGTCGCTCGATTCGCTCCGGAATCGGCGTATACTGTCCACGTGATATCCGCCGCCCATAAGAAGATCACATTCGCGTTCGCGGGCCCGGCCGCAGGCCGCGGTGAAGTAGCCGCGCAATTTCGCAAAGCACCGTAACCGTAATTACTGTTATTGCAGGATATTTAATATACGGGGGCACGTAAAAAGCCGCGGTCCACCCCTCCGAACTGACCTCGCGGCCGCGTGGAGCGAGTAACACGAGCCACGGGATATAAGCGCTCTCGCGTATAGCCGCCGGCTATGAAGGACGAAACATGCCCGGGGTGTGCTTTCGCCTTTATAAATAATAAATTCGCGTAGGAAACGAAAAAGTTGACGAGAGAGAGAAGGGGGGGGAGGGAGAAGGGTAAGAGATAGGGTAAGAGGAAGAAAATAAAATTGAACGAAGGGGCAGGGGAGAGAGAAGCGAAGCGGAGAGGGATAATAAAAATGTGCGACGAAGAAGAGCACGACGACCGATATATCTACCGATAACTTTACCATAAACAACATTCCTCACGCTGAAAAACGGATTTCGATAACTTCATAGGAAAATGTGGAAAAAGCGGAGTTCAATTTGATTCAATGAAATTCGTCGCGAATGCAAGACAACAGTTTGCAATAATTTTTCGAAACGAACAAGCTCGAACGATCATTCCAAATTTGTGTTCGTCGGTTCCCATCAGTAAATTAATTTTTATCCTGTACGCGAAAATACTAACTGTGCTGCGATCTGGCGCCGCAATGGAGACACACCAAGTACAAGCGACATCAATGTGATGTGTAGAAATGATTTTTTTAATATTTAATCTTCTACGTAACATCGTTACGTCCAAAAAAAAATCGGATCGCGTCGTAAAACACACGAATAAATAAACAATTAATTATATAATTAATAATTGCATAAAATAAGTTTGAACTCACCAGCCGCTGGCGTCGCTGCGCTGTAGTCGCTCTTGCCGCTCGTATTTTCCAGATATCGTGCTAAAAAACAATAATAATGAATAAGTTTGAAGATCGAGCAATTACTTAATTTAATCGACGTAAAACTCATTACAGATGCGGTCCACTTAATGTTACAAATACTGCGAAGCATTTAATTGACCGATCAAAAGGAAGAATTTCAATTGATTAATCAAAAATAAGTACTTCAATAAGTTTGTAATACTAAAGATACTGTCCACTTAGCACTCACAACGCTCGCGAGCATCACTTGTGTTTAATAAACAACAAGGATAAAAAATTAATTCTTTAAACGTTGTGCCAAGTGGAACGCCTCTTATAGAAATTTGTGATACTAGTACCTGCCAATTAATCACTTATTTTAAATATTTATTATATAATAAATTATTATTATATAATATAATATAAATACTTATTATATAATAAAGTATTTATTACATAAAAGTATTGTTAACAGTACTTTTAAAATAAGTGATTAATTCTTTACAATTAATATTAAATTTTATATCTATTATCTATATATATTAAAGGTACTATTAGCAGTACTTTTAATAACTACTCAAAATAAGTGATTAATAATCCAGTAATAGTATTAAATAAATTTTCTAGAAGGGACAGTCAGGTAGACCATCTACTTCAAAAAATATTATTCGCTTGTTTGTAACAATCTTACCTGATACTCGGATACATCACGACGAATCGAGAATGTAAACATTGACTGGCGACACAAGACTAAATCGTATTAATGCTAGATTCCGGTCTATCCCTACAAAGTCACGAAAACAAGCACTCACCCGCGATCACGAAAATGGCACGCATCGGTACAATACATACGATCGCAATTATACAAATACGACAGTACGCTCGGTACTTCGACACTCTCGACATTTTGTTTAGCGCTACATAACTAGAACGACGCGACGTGGTAACCGTAATTCGCGTACGCGAATTAAAACGTCACGACGATTGGTTAGTACTTCACCTTTCTGGTACTCCCCTCTTTATTTACAAGCTCGACGTTCATTCAAACGCGTAATTCACGACGAGGAAAAGACACGGGAGCACTTCTCGCGCCGATTACGAATTATTGCGACGCGGCGTGAAAACTGTTATGGCCGCGCATGCGCATTCACGATACATATTTGTCGTTCGCGATAGTCTTGCTCGCGAAAAATTTGATCGGCAGCTTGTCGATACCGTTTTATGGCGAGACTCGACCGCGATTGTCGAACGGATATGATGTACGATCGCGCGACAATCCGTTTGGTGTTTCCGGCACTGTATGGACGCGAAATTCACAACTTGGCGATGCGAAAGACGAGAAAATCACGAGGAGCGCGACGCGACACGATCGTACGATCGCCGCGGCGCGAAACTGTCATGGCGACTGCGCATGCGCGCGAAATCTTAATATTATAAATAACGATTTGATACTTCTTGCTCTCAATAGTTGCTTTTCATTTTCACGCAAGTGATACGAGTTAAATTTAAGAATCTAAAATTATGTGAGTATATTTTATACTCAGATAATGATAGCACTACTTAATTGCTCGCTTTGGTGACAAAATTGTCGCATGTAACAAAATAAGTTTTAATTTGAATTAAGAAGACTCACAATCAGTAAAGCGCACGATCTCGATGTAGACTGTATAGGTTCATTTGTTAGAATAAAAAGGAACGTGCAACTGAATTTTGACGTCACAAGTGGAAATTATTTAATTAAGTTTTGATATAAATGGAAAGCAACTGAAAACAGTTATTTTATTACGCCAATATATGGAATATTTTATATTATATAAGTGCGAATGAATTTCGAGATGTATCTTTTCCAAACGATAAACTTATCAGATTTTGTTCCGCCTTGCAATTATAAATTGCTTTTCTATCACCAACTGATTACATTATCAAGAGATTGCGTGGTAAAAGTAGCTGAAATCACCAATTTTATCGACTTACGATATCATTATTAAATGCTTTAGGTAATGCGAATTTCTGCAATATCTTATTGTCGATATATTAAGTAACTATGTTAAATGATAAAAAGTCTTGTGACATGATAGGCGTATTGTATACATATCTACAATAAAAATGTTGTAATCCTCGTTTCTCACAAAGGATTTAAACATCATCGGTAAGAAATTAAGAATAGAATTACATTGGAATCTTTTCAAGATCGAAGGACCGACCTAGCTTTAACGTCACCAGTGAATGTTTACATTCTCGATTGGTCGTTGATGTATATCGGAGCACCAGGTGAGATTATTGCAAACAGTGAATAACATCGTTACACGTAATGAATTTTACATCGACCGAAATAAATAATATTCGAACTTTTAAACTATTTTATTACAATCATCTTTTATTGCTTCTTAAAAAGGATAATGATGTTAAATAATCTCATGTTAACCTACGAAATAGTCATCATATTTATATTATTAATGTAATAATTAATTTACTTGCTTTAAAATTGTTTGTTTTTTTTTAAATATCATTTTGTACTTTTCAAGAACTTAAATGCAATAATGGGTAATGCGGGAAGCAATCAGCCTGTCGGTCATCATCACGGCACTACAGCAAACAGAGAGCGACATAGCAAAGATCATCCTCCACCCTCTCCAGGAAAGGAAGGCCAGGCGTTCGTTTTCGACAAAAAACCTAGCCAGAAACTTGTATTTCAGTCCTCCCACGAAGAAGAAGAGTCATACTTTGCAAAAGTAATGTCAAAATAACATTTACATACACGTAAAAATATGTTTTACATGTAAATATATATATATACATATGTTATATTCATATTACATTGTTATTTTTATTTGACTATGAATAGACCGGCCAACAGGATGGAGAAGACTTTGGATCGCAGCGTCCAAGATCTAACACAGTGTCTGAGGGTACAAAAGTTGCAGATAATAAGGTGCTACCAACTGTTTTCAAATGGGAAGGAGGTGGAAAGCAAGTATATATTAGCGGGACATTCACTGGATGGAAAACATTACCGATGGTAAAAAGCCATGGAGATTTTGTCACGATAATTGATCTACCAGAAGGAGAACACCAGTATAAATTTTTCGTTGATGGAGAATGGAGACACGATCCTGGACTGGTGAGTGTTACATTTCTTTAATAGCTTTATGTACATTATTTATAACGTATCTGTACTTCGTATGTTGTGTTGTATATTAAATTCAGAGATTGTTGTTTTAATGTTATAGAAAATTGTAGACAACGGCATGGGTTCCAAGAACAATTTAGTTTCTGTTAGGAAGTCTGACTTTGAAGTATTTCAAGCTCTGGCAAAAGACAGCGAAGGTGTTACTAGTAGCACTCAAATGGAGTATGGTCAAGAAATACCACCGCACAAACCTTGGGAGAAAATAACTGGGCCACCTATCTTGCCGCCGCATCTGCTACAAGTTATCCTTAACAAAGACACGCCATTATCCGTAAGCTAAATAATAAATATATAATATACATTCGACGAAAATTCAATGAGACTTTCTGCCATCATATATTTTTTTTTTTTCCAGTGTGAACCTACTCTTCTACCTGAACCAAATCATGTTATGCTGAACCATCTTTACGCTTTGAGCATTAAAGACAGCGTGATGGTCCTATCAGCCACACATCGTTATCGCAAAAAATATGTTACAACTTTGCTTTACAAACCGATTTAAATGTCAAGTCATTCCCGCGTTTGTTGGTGCTGTATATTTTTTAATTATCCCGAAATAATACAGGTGCCCAAGTGACACCATATTAATGCATAAGATTTTTATGAGCTTCTTTGAGGCAAGGTAGAAGATTATAATATTTAGAAATAGTTGATTTGTCGCTATGTTTATTATATCTCAATCATGTGTATAATAATGTAATTACTATTTATTAAAGTTAGATATTTTATATTTGCTTTTCTCGCTATTATCAACAAATGGAATCCAACGTAACAGGAATTATTTCGAAATATGTATCTTGAAAGAATATGATTGCTTATATATAATTTTCATTTAGATACATTATTGTTGGTTACTTCTGATACATGTGCGTAAGGCGGATCCGATCTCGTTTTAAGAAAATATAGACCCTCGGCGGTATGTTCAACATGCTCTCCCATAAGTACTACTTGCGAATTGTCACATTTGCCGCTTAAGTATGAGTCCCAGTTGTCGCATTTCTTAGCCGGTAGTCCTGTTTTCGAATTTATACTTTCCGTAAAGTATGCATATGACCGCCCATGACTGCAAGCCTCTAAAATATATGGAAAGAATAAGACGTTTCTGTTACAAAGATCTGCCCTAACGATGGAAATACTTTACCCATTATCTCAGGAACGCAGCAGCATCCGGGCTGGATCGCCGTACCAGCGTTTGGATAAAAGTCTGCTTTTCCAAGCGGTTGAAGAAAGCCTAACACACCGCCGCAGGAATGTATGACGTCGACGAATACTGCATCTGTGGGATCCAAGCGAGTTTTCTCGGAGGCGAGTATGTGGAATCCTGGCAACGCTGGATCCAAACCTGTTACTCTGCTCAATTTCCCGGAAGTCGTCGCACCGCCCGCATTCCCAGCCACGTGTGCACCAAGGGAATGACCTTATAAATCAACGGGCAATGAAACTGCGACTTATAAATAATAAACAAATAATATTGTATTATACAAGACAGTGTACCGATAAAGTGAACATCTTCCGTTTTCAGCCCAGTCTCTCTTACTAAGAAGTCTATGAAATTGGCAGCGTTAGTCCCGACTCTTGCGGTGTTATGCATCGGTCCCAAATAAAATGTGCTCGCAGCCAACGGTTCCCAGTCCACAAGAATGACATTGTAATCGCCGTGAGTGAGAAAAGCTGCTCAAAAGAGTGAAAATTATCCGTTTTGCTAATGAATTAAGACTGAATTCGTAAATCAATTAGAAAAACAAGCTACCTTCTTTCATGTTGATAAGACTGGTACTCATGGCGCTCGACTTCCATCCGTGAGTTATGAATTTCGTTTTTCGCGAGGGTTTGAAGTCGGAACCAGCAAGATTTGAGGTGTCATTTAGAGACACTCTTATACCTTTTTCCGGATTAGATCTTAAAAATAAGAATATTACGGAAACCATGGTTAAATGAATAATGAAAGAGAATTAAGGTGTGATAGCATTTTGTTATAAATAATATTTATTTATTGAACTTGGATACCGAGTGAAAATTATGTAAGCTATTTCTGAGTCTAATACGCCTCTCCTTTCGTTGTCTTGAACCTTTAACACTGCTACTTGAGGCTGTCCATTGCCGTCAGGCATAAAAATCCAATCCTCTCCGTAACCATCGTATCTTTGGCGCAAACCACTATCCCATTGTTGCGAATAAACAGAATAACGCAATATAACAAAAATAAAGATTTGTTTCCACACTAGATTTGATAACATCTTACTGCGGTACTTAATATCGCTATGAGCAAAGAATTGATTGCGAGTTGTGCAGACCTCGCATTAAAACTACGAAAAATAGCAACTAAATTACTGATGCCGCAAAACGGAGACTCCTTTTTAAATCCTGGCGGTATTACGATAAGACGCTGATACCCTTTCGTTTGGCCTAGTTTTTCTTGTTTTATCTCGCATGTTGTATCACAAGCGCGGAAGTACTATCAAGCGGGGGATTGTAATTACATTCAAAAGGATACAGGTTTGTACTGAAACAAATAATGTGCAATCTCGTGCATGCATATCGCGGGCAACGTTGAAATCAGCGTCGAAACGGGCTAATTAACCGATAATTTTACAAACGTCGTAAAGTAACTCAGTTGTGAATTATTTGCATTACTTTTTTGATACGTGTATTTTAAACAATGCGGATTACACTGAATAGATAATCGCTTGCTCGATACAATTCGCATTATTCAAAACAAATATTGCAGAAGTAATAAATATGAAGGGATAAAGAAATTTAAAAAAAAAAAATAATATACAGGATGTCTCACAACCACAATACTTTCACAAAGCGTATTCTAAAGATAAAATAGAGCAAAAAATCCTGACAGGAAAATGTCGAGGTCACAATCGTTTTTTTAATTATAATCGATCAAACAGCCAGTAATATATCGCGAAAAGTCCATGCGCTCAGCTCGTAATTATACGCACATCGATCTGATACTGCATTCACAGTAATATTGAATTTGTTTTATTGCACAAATAAGTATTATGATAAGAATATATAATTTCAACAAATCAAGATTTGCAATTTAACAGATATTTAAATTGTCGAAAAAATATAGTCCATTTAATCTTACTTTGATTTATTTATTAATACATTACATCCTATTTGATTTATTAATACACGATAATTAATTAATTAATACACGATTTTATTCGTCTTGAGACATAAAAAATGTTAAAGAAGCAATAAATTAAATTTTATAATTATTATGTTGTTCTCAAGTAACTTTTGTATTAGATTTAATAATTTTAATGACAATAATTGCTAATGCTGTTAATAATCAGTTGTTCAAAAAAAATTCAATATTAACTGTGAATACGGTATCAGGTCGATGTGCGCGTAATTACGAGCACAGACTCTATTAGTAGTACGTGATAGTACTGGCTATGATTAAATTATTTAACTATAATATAAGAAATCCTATTAACAGTCGAAAGTGAGATAATACAAATAATACATTAATATATTCTTTTCAAATAAATTTATTTCAAATATGACTGCACGTCGATAACTTTCGAACAATCAATCTGAAAGAATAATAATCCTCTCTAAATTAAATTAGAAAATATGTAAAGAATTTACTGGGAAAAATATAATCTCGACCGGAGATCGAAACCGGATCTCTCACTTTCCGAATGAGCGTCCTCACGTTAGACAACCATGACTGTGAAGGGTTGTAATTCAAAAATTATTGTGACCTTGACATTTTCGTATTAGGATTTTTTATTTTACTTTATCCCCCCCTCCCCTCCTTTCCCCCTCAGACTTTATCTTATACTATAAAAGTATTATACAATGGTTGTGGAATACTCTGTATAATACATTATGGCCCGTATTCTGAACGCACTTACGACGATGTTAGCTAACATGCTATACTTTACGCATATTGTAGAATCTGAGAAATAAAAGCGCGCTTTCTGCCAATATAAGTCAATATAAATAGTCAATATATAAGCCAATATAAATATTATCATAAGCTGCAAATTATTCATATTCAGATATAAATTCACTATAACTGTTCCGAATATTGTGACGGTCAACATTCAAATGAGTCAAAGATAATACACAGTGTACAAATTAATAAGTAAAACAGACGTATTATCAACGTATGTCAGACTGTTACTTAAAAGTAATAAAAACAAAAAACGCAGTTTAAATCAGTGTAAAGAAGTACAGGGCATACAGAGTCAACGTAATTAATTATAAAGCAATATATAGCATTATATAGCAGTATTGATATAAATTGGATAACTTTCATTACGATTTTTCTATGATGATGAAAATGAATTTTAAGGTTGTGGATTTTGTTTTATCTAAGGATGGCTCAATCCAAGAGCCGAAACATGTAATGTAATGTATTTTACAATGTGTTATTTATAGAATTTTTTTATACATTTTATATATCGTATTATAGTTCTTGCATTAATAATTAATTACGTTAATTCTTATATGCCCTATACTTCTTTGTATTGTTTTTTAAAAAACTAAAAGTTCTGTACTATTTATTTGATTAAATCAGTGTAAATTATTAAGAATCGAGATGTAATCGAATGATGTAAAAACTCAGTGTCAGATTGCAAATTAAGGCTATTTTTTTGTAACTGAATATGTAGCATTTCCAAGATACGTCGTTTGTACAAAAACCGCTCCTGAACAATAATTTCTGTGCCTTCCCAATCAAATCATAGTTTAGATCCAATCTGTGTTCAGTGATAACAGAATGATTACTCGTATTCCTTCGGATGTCATTACAATGTTCTGAGAGTCTCGTTTTTAAACATATTCAGTCGTTTTACTTATTAGTTTGTATACTGTGTATTATCTGATTCATTTGAATGTTGACCGTCACAATATTCGAAGAATGGTTGTAGTGAATTTACATTGCTAAATATGAATAATTTGCAGATCCTTTGTCTTTCGACTCTAATTAATTTTTTATATTCACGTCTTTCATGGCTACATGGGTGAGTGCATTAATTTTTTTTTATAAAAATAATAATTGGTAACGTTTTTGATATCTGCACAGATTTTTATCTATTATTCATTGCCACTGTCAACCATTGCCAATAGAATAAGGAGATTGAGTTGCCACTCTGCTCTCACCATGAAAAAGTGAGAATTTTGCAACATACGTTCAGACATACTGATGATGGTCCGAAAGCAGACCGAAACGTTTATGCGTAACTAATTATACTATAGTTTTTCGACAATAAACCATTTTTATTTTCGCACGAACAAGCGCGCAAAAAACTCTCTTAGCCTTTATTTGTTTTTGTTTTTTGATATTCTCGACAATTTGGTTACTTGTTTTATTTAATATTAAATCGAGCATAAATCATCGACCACAGTCCGATTCACAAAGTGAATCATTTCATCCTTGTTGCTTATTAAAGTTAAACAAGTACTAATGATGATTACAAGCGTTGTAATTGTGAGTTATCGAGGCGTCGGATGGCTCGGTCCGCGGACTAGCAATCCATGGATAAGGATACGATCTCATCTCACGCAGAAATAAATTTTCATAAGTATATATACCTGCAAACCATTGCCACGCTCGCGAGGTCTTTGTTAAGTATTGAAAAATAAGTCTCAGAATATCATATGGTATAAAATTCAATACATTTTCATTGCTGCGCGTTGCATCTGCACC